TACTTTCGTTCCTTTACTATAGTATAGTTGTTAGTAGTTACTCTATACTAATATATATATATATATATATATATATATATATATATATATATAAAGAGCCCCGGACTCACTTCTCTAAAAATAGAAAACCTTTGTCTCTCTCAAAATTTCTAGTTGATGAATATGAAACATTAAGGCATCGAAAAAAGGGTTCTCTTCATCATCTTTTTGTCTTCCTCTTGCATTAGTTTGTTTGGGTGCGTCATAAATTCAATCAATAAATTAGGGTGCGGTTTCTATAAGGTTGCAACCTTAAACAATCCAATTACAGTGTGCCTCCAAATTTATCATTACATGTAATTTTAGTGTATAAAATTATTAGGATTATCTCAAAATCTATTTTCATATCTTACTACAAAATTTTAAAATCTAAAAATGGTTAAAATCAAGTAGATCTATAAACATATGAAAATCTTGAAAATGGACGGTCTAAATAATGTGTTACAAGATGCACTATTTCTAAGAGGCAAAATCTTCTTTTTTTTTCAAATTCATATATCTCGATATTGAGATGATCAATTAGAGGGTTTTTCAATATTAAAATAATCATTTTCGATGGATTTTTGAAATGCATATGTAATTCTACATATGTAGGTTGCAATCTCATATAAACTTTTTCCAATAAATTATGATGGCAACAACTTTCACCCCTTTTCTCCTTCCGTTCTCTATAAACGCCATTGGGACTCGTCTTCTCCTCCTACTCAAAGAAAGAGAAAGATGATGGGCCTCATATGAGAAGCCAAAAGATTTTGAAGATGTTAGAGAGAGGAGAGAGAAAGCTGTTGTGTCTGGTGCTGATATGACAAGCAAGGGAGAGGATAGAAATTTTAGGGGAATTGTGGGCAGATGATGATGGGGCACTACTTTTTCTCAAATTTTCTCATTTTTTGATTTATTGGTTTGTTTAATTTTTTTCTTTTTCTTTTTTTCCACGTGTAAAGTACTCGGTCTAGCCCACTTGAACTCAATCCAATAACTCGACTCGAGTAGGGACTGAGCCGGTGAGTCCGAGTCCCGAGCCAAATATAAAACATTGTTGTGTGCTCGTGAGTGTCAATTTCCCAAAAAAAAAAAAAAAACACTTAAAAGAATGAGAACTCTTAAATTATTTCAGAGGGCATTGAGGCCAATACTTAGTTGTTTTTTCTTTGCTGGATAATTGGCTTGCTTCTTGCTCAATAAATGCTTTTTTTATTTTTTATTTTTTTGAAAAGTTGCTCGATAAATCGTAAAAAAAGCTCCAATAATGATGATCATAATCAATAAATATCTTGCTCAGGCATTTTTCTGATCATTTTGCATTCTCAAAGGCAATAGTGTTGTTCTTGATTCAGGGGAGGATATGAGAATAGTGGCCCAAAGAGAGAGAGATTGCAGTCACTAGTCAGTATCTTGATGTTACGGGTGCATTTAAAGTACACATAGGGTAACCTATACTATAATCCTATGGACTATGGTTTTTCAATAGTCCATGGAATTATAGCACAATGATTTGGCTAAATATAGAAATACTAGATTGCAAGTTGGGACCCGGAAAGGTCTGGCTCAGCCCCTTAAATCATTTTGGAATGTTCTCCACCTCAGATCCTGCATTTCAAGCGGTCCACAATGTTAGTTAGAGAGAGAGAAAGAGGGGGAGAGAGAGAGAGTTGGATGGTTAGATTTAAGTGTGCGTGCATCTGTATGCTCAAAGAGACAGAGGGATAGCAGAGTTCGACTTCGACTACTTAGGTGAGCAAACTTGGACTCGCTTGAGTAATTCGGGCTCACCATCCTAGGCTTTAAGTATCCATGGGTTGGATGGTCTCACTCGGAGATCTTAAAAAAAAACTATATAAAAAATAAAAAAATATTTCTAATTTATTTTTATCATTTTGACAAATATTGGAAAATATTTTGCTTATGAATACTCATTTTAACATTTCCCTTTTTTTGGATTATTTCTAAAATACCCCCATTAAAAATTGTTTTTTTCAAAATTCATAATGTAGTACATTTTTAACCGTATTTAAATGTATTTTGTTTAGTTTTACTTTAAAAATATTTCTTCTTTTTGGGCTTTCTTATTTTTTTTTTTAAAATATTGTTTTGGCTTGACCAAAACTTGGCCAAACTCGGGCCGAGTACATTTTGGGCTAAGTATGTGGCCCGAGTCGGTTTTTCTGTTACTGTTGAATAGGTTCAACGTGCATATGCATGTGTGTGCCTACATAACGAGAGAAGGAAGAGAAGAGAAGAGAAGAGAAGAAAAGAGGAGAGAGAGAGAGAGAGCCCGCTTACAGGACATATTCAACGTTGATCTTGGCATTAGGGGTGTGAGAAATTGCCCCAAAAGCATCATTAGACAGTTGAAAGGTTGAAGGGCAAGGGCTACCACGGCATCCATCTACAACCTGGACCACAATGTTCCCATCTTTACAAACCCTCCTTGAAGCCCCATTCAAACACCTCAGCCTATACTTTCTCCCACAAGCTGCACCATTGTCCCAAACCTCAACACCAGCCGCCACAAATTGATTATCTGGGGGAAATTGTCCAGTGTTATACCCATTGCATTTGGTTGCTACATTTAAAGAACAATAAAAATGTAATTATTATTATAAATAAATTAGATTATATTATATAACCATTTACTATTAGTACAAGAAAGTAATGTGAAATCTGACAACTTTGATGTCATATAGTTCAATTTTTTTTTTTTTTAATTTTTGAGTCTTGTCAGCGAAATAAACACAACCGTTTAATTGTGAGGTCTATGAGCCATTCATGAACCAAAAAAGAAATGTTTGGTTCGCTCGACTATTCATTGGTGATTTTCATTTCTTCCCCCTCTTATTTACAAGTAGTGAAATATGTTTGTCGGGACCACTCAATCCATGATTGGGCGGAAGATACATATAAAAGAGAAAAATATGGAGACCCCCTTTAAAATATACTTTGTAGGCATCCATGCTCTGATACTTTTTATATCACATCTTTAACCCAATTATTTTTATTTCTTGATTTTATCCTCAGTCCAAAAGTAATAATTTTTATAACAAAACTACTTGGTTCAATACGTGTACTCTCACATTTCCGTCAACTCACGAGGCATGACGCTCGAAGCAAAAATGGGAATCGGTTTGGCACAAATTTTGTTGGACGAGCAAAATTTGCCAAAAAATGCACTCCAGTATAGTGTTTTGCCGGATAGAAAGAAAATGGCCAAAAATTCAGTCCGGCAAAAACATGTGTCAAACCAGTCATCAAAAGCTACAAGTTAGTTTGGTGCATTTTCTGCCGGACCACATTTTTTGCCATGTTCTTCTAGTCTCGAACAATTTTTGCCGAAACGTAGTAAAAACAATGAAAAAATGCGGCATAGCACAAACCGGTAGTGAGGCTTTTGAAGTTTGAAGCTAGAAGTTGATCTAGCACATTTTTGTGTTAGACCGAAGAAGAATCTAGCAGGCCAATACAAAAGTGTGGGACTCGATTCTACATTTAAATTCCAAAAGCCTCACTACCAATTCGACATATTTTGTGCCAGATTGTACTTTCCCATTTCAAACGGGGAGAGAGAGAGAGAGAGAGATTTAACGAGTTAGGGAAAGTTTAGTCTTCAATATATTATCTTTTTGATTGGGGAATAAAAGAAAGAAAAAACAATAATTGGGTGCTATAAAAAATATTGGAAGGTTGGATATCTACAAAGTATATTTCAAGTAGTATTCATGATTTTCTCGAACTAAAGGGGAAGAGATGATTGGTAAGAGAGAGAGAGTGAGAGAGAGAGAGGTCGTAGGGTTGACAATAGGCCAAGTGGCCCGCCTCACCCAAAAAAGAAGGCCTTGGGCCAAAAACTATGGTCTAAGGGTAGGGTAAGGGCCGGGGCCGGGGCCGGGGCCGGGGCCGGGGCCGGCCTAGCCCTCTTTTTTTCTTCCTTCGTTTTTGGCCCGGCGGCTAGCATTATAAAGATAAGGGCAGGCCCGTTACCACCCTTGGATTTCCTTGGGTCTTGTGGTTGAAAGTTGAAAGAGGGAGAAAATGACGAAGTATACTTACGAACATAAGGAGGATTGTAGGAAGTAGCAGTACCAACATCGCCCATCGCTAAGTCAGCAGTGAGTAGTAACCATCCAACAACAGTGGACACCACCAAAAACTCCATTTCTCTCTCTAGAAAACACACACTTTGAATTAGACTATTACTTCTTCTCTTTCTAAAACACAAACTTTTGGATTACACTCTTATATCTTGACTTCAAATCTATCAATTGTGCTCTATTTATAGCTCCAACTGGTTGCTAAAACAGGAAAAAATCGTCATGCAAGGGAAGTGCAATGCGATTTGCATTCACAAATTCAAGAGACTCACGGCACTACTGAGGACCTATCCATCCACTATCATCAGGCAATAAAACGAGATGAGAAGTACCAGAATATGATAAGATGGTCAAGATCTCTACACAAGTTTTTAAAGATTGAATTTCTCGGACTTTCTTTTTTTTTTGTCTTTTAATAATATCTGAGGTTTGGAGAGATGAGTGTAGTTATTATATAAAACTTTAAAGTTATATACTACACTATCTCTTTATCAGTTTATAACTTTAAAGTTCAAATTACAATGAAATTATCAACTGAGAACCTATGCCATGTGTTCACCAAGAGTATTATTTTTCTGAGCATATGGATGGTAACATAGGTTATACATAAGTGCAAGATAATCTCTCTTTTTTTGAAAAAGTAAAATGATCTCTCTCTCTCTCTCTTTTGTGTGTGGTCCTGGTAGTGACATCCTTCTTTGAGAGAGAGAGAGAGAATGCGTGCACACAAGCAAATAATAAATTGAAACTGTATTGTTTACTTCTAATCCCGAGTGACTCTTCTTGCAGCACACGCACACGCACATGAGAGAGAAATGATAGTTTTAAATTCAGATATAATCTTAAGGCAAAAAAAGTTTAATAGAAGGTATGAATGAGTATCATACAAGTAAAATTAAGGCGCACACCAAAAACTCACTGGAAAAGTTAGCAGACACTAGAAAATCTTTCAATTGAGCATTTTCCCCTCGATTTGTATGGACTTGGACAAAAAATAAGAACATAAAGGATTTCTGATAGGATTTCCACTATTTATATATTATCTACTTAATTCGCACTATTTTATAACTTCATATTTCATAAACAAGGTAAAAATAGATTTTTAGACCATCATAGACATTTTCGACACCGAAATCACATGTTTTAATAAGCTTTAAAAGTTTGGTTTAAGGTGGACACCTTACATAAAACACACCATAGTTAAGGTTAGATCTTCCAGTAACTTATTAGATGGGAGCGGTTAGCCTAAGATTTGGGCTCTAGAATAAGGTGAAGTTGCACCATTGTTTGCAAAATCGACCCGGAACGATTAACCGGACATGAGGCCGGAAGTGGTTTAATCGGTTTAACCAATAAATCGGCCGATTCAACGATTCTAATTGGGAAAATCCCGGGTGTTCAAAAAATTGTTGGAAAAAATAAAAAAGATAAAACAAATATAAAAGCGAGTATTAATGATAAAAACAATTTTTAATATTTATCATGATATACAAAATATTAAAAAATATATTACAAATCAAATTCTTTATTTTTAAGATTTTATATATATATATATATATATATATATAATTTCTTTTTAATGCCAGACGGTCACCAAAACGGCCTAAAACCATAACCGGCAAGGGGTAGGTTCCGATTTAACCGGGTGGTTACTGATTAGATCGCCCGATTTTTCTAACATTGAGCTGCATATGAGAACTTACTCTAGAAACTTTATAATGGCATGAAAATCTATTACTATCATTAATTCTGGATTTTGAAGTCTCAAAAAATGGCACATCTAGAGGATAGTGAATATTTGAACTCAGATAATGTATATCCCATGGAGATAATCGGATTTTAGGGTTTTTTAGCTTCTAGTGATTTTTTGAGGTACTCTTTTGATTGTTTAGGACCTCATCGTTACATAAATTTTTTCCAACTCTAAACCAGTAGTTACAAAAAAAAACGTGGCACGTATAAACTGGCAAACCTTTTAGTATGAGAAACTTGGGTCATCTCCCCAACCAGTCATAACGATGCCCAGTGGAGTGATCACTTCTTGGCCATCCACAAAATCCACCATCTACAATGTGGTGTAGATTGATGTGCTAATACAAAGAAGGGCCACGATTAAATAACAACTTCCATTAGGCATCTTCAATACTGCCAAGTGTTAAGAGCCACCTACTACTTAATCCACCACATGTTTAATAAGTTATTGTGCACCTACAATCATTGCTTAGTGCTTGAAGTGTTTCACTTTGCCTTTGACTTTAAATTTTGTAAGACCAATCCTGATCTTAATCTAAGAAACAATATTAATGAAACTCTTCAAGTGCATAAAATGTGACATCAAATATCATTTAAGGTCTCACTTTGATTCTCCTGTTATTATTTAAATCAAATAATTGAGAAAAGATTATGATGATGATGAAATGTACCAGTCAACTGCACGTGGTTCTTTTAATGGATGCAGCACAAATGTAGTTTTGGATATGGTGGATTATTTGCAAGCACTAGGACACATCCACCATGGTTTAAGAAAGGGAAAGTATAAAATGAGATTATTTGTATGTTATTCTAGTCGGTCACTATCACTATTTGGCTACTAGATGTCAAATTGCGTGGCTGGGAGCCTGCCGTTGATTGGACTCAAAGCCTAAAGAAAAGATTTGTGACATACCCAGTCCGTTGCATTTCAAATTTGGTGGGTGGGTTGATAACCTCTTTGTAATACAATCCCAAAAGAAAATAACATAATAATACAGGATGAAATTTCTACATGGCCTAAGTTTTATGAAAACAAAATAAAGTCTCACCTCAAATCCTCATCCAGAAAGCGCTTTTGACATTGAAAATCTTCGTGATGGTTCTAAATCTAATTTTCAACACCGATAATAAAATTTGAAACTCAATCCAAGACTCGGAACCACCCAAGTTGGAAACTAGGACTGATAGGGGCCGACCATTGTCTCCTTCGGGATTGAGGGACTGAGTCTTCTTCTTCCTTTTTTTTTTTTTTATTAAAGAAAATCTAGTTTACTAGTGTAATGCCAAAAGATATTTTACTACCTCGGGAGTACATTGTTCATTTAGCCCCATCGTGATCCCAAATTTTAGGGATGTAACCTCTTGAACCCATATATTAACCTCGATAAATCAAAATTTCTAATTGTGCTTTCTATGTACTTGAAAAAAAAAATAATGTCTCAATATTGAATAGAACCATCCAATTGTTAAATGGGGAAATCTAAGTGTTAGGAACTCAAATTTTAACTTTTTTTTTTGCGAATAATAATCTAGTTCTTCTTAAGTGATTCCCAAAATTTGAAATCTAAAAAAATCCTTCCAAGTAGAACTTTTGACCAAGGGAGTAAAAGAAAACTATGGTCCCGAGGGAGCATAATATACATTCTCAATGTATAAAATATTGATTTCTCTCTCATTTCTTCATCAAAATCTCCAATCTAATCCATCTAAAATAACCCTAAAGAGACCTTAAAATTGCAAATTTTATGAAATGTCAATATCTAAATTTGGTTTTTTCTACCTTTCTTCGAGATGCAATCCGCCGTCCTTCGAGTTTCCCAACACCGATTCACTAAATTATTTGAAATTTATTGCAAAAATGTCATTTTATATCCTCTAACATGTTCATATCATACTATGTTAGAAATCTAGAGTTGAAATCTTGGGAGCTTTTAACACGAAAGAAAACAATTTTGGGTTTCGCAAACATTATTTCACCAAATTTGTTCAAATTTGTGCCCGAATTTTCCTATCTTAATCTGCAAAAACCCTAAGAATTTTTTTGATCAAAATAAAACATCTTTAAGATGCCATTTTTATATCTTTCATTTTTTCCACCATAGTCTTCACCAAATGTTTGTTATTTTAATTTTTTGATTTCCTGAATATTGATTTACAATTTTAATTAATAAAAAAAAACAAGAGGTAGGCCTAAGAAATGGTTGGAAGCAGTCAAAAAAAGATATAGCAATTTATGGCTATGGTTCTTGATAGAGCAGAATGACATACCATGATTCGTACTGTCGACCCCAAATAGTTGAAGAAAGGCTTTGATGATGACGATAATGATGATTTACATCTTCTGTTAGATTTAACTAAATATGTGGTTTTGATTTTACCGTTTGATATATCTTTTTTTTTTTTTTCTGCCTAATTTATTTTATTTTTTTAAAAATATTTGGCCAACTGAGTGATTCGCCTCCTACGGGTGGGTGATGAGTTTGACCTCTAGGTCATGTTTTTAAACACTTCTCTGTCCTTGGACACACCTGTTACAATGAGCCCACACTCCTAAAATGGATCTTGAAAATAGATTTGGGATCCAAAATTTGAAAAGTATATCATCCAGATCATATGAAAAAAACTATTTGGAACCTCACAATGGTATATTATTTCGTCCAGACAGTTTGTTATAATTCTTCAAAGTTCATCAGATTTGCATTCTTATAGAGCTCCAACTCTTAAACCAGAGAAGGAAATGGATTTAGAAATATTCAAAATGCATTTCAGTTCCTAAATTCCTTGAAAGCCAAAGCACTCTCATGAGTCAGGCGGCTTATATTGTTTGCATGCACATTTGCTTCTTGATGGTCTGAATACTGAAACCAGAGAAGGAAGTGGATTTAGAAATATTCAACTATGCTAGTGTATTGTTCATCCACTCCCTTAGACTAAAAACCTACGAGGGCCGATATTTGGAATCTAAAATTTTGGATGAGTATTTTTTAAAGAAAACATTTGAATTTTCAGTTTTCTAATATTCAAATGATTGGACGGTCTCGGTTCAATCTTGAGACATTATTTTCCTCATGTGTATAAATAGCCAGATTTAAAAATTTTCTTTTTTTGAAAGTATATGGGGTTGACGATGTTACATCCCCAAAAGTTGGGCTTATAAATTTGCTCCTAGATTAGGTTTTATTTGAGGGAGTTAATCGATAGTATGCTCCCATAGGAATATAATATCTTTGAACTTTTCCTAACAAGGGCATTCCATGTCGCAAATTTGGAGCCGTGGGTCCAACCTAAGTTGACCACAAGGTAATATGTTCTACTGCACACTTCACATGAGGCTGATTTCCAAGCCC